ACATCTCACCTGAGTGATTCTCATTAGGACTGCACGTCTGGGTTGAGAAATCTCGTTTAAACGGAGATTTTTGCACGATTTACACGATTAATGGAAATCATAAGTAACCATAGTACGTACACACGTGCGTGTGTAGTTTAGACATTGAACGATGCAAACGAGATCTTACGTATGTATGTGGGTATAGCTACGCGTAACAAGTATCGATGTCACAATGCCGCGAAACATTGTACGAAAGGCTATATGTATGATATACCAGACCTTGCGATACGATATGCATAGTAAAAGCAAAGTAGCAAATGAAAAAAAACATGTACGACGAGAAATCGAAAATCAAAGATATGCCGCGGTATCCTCGTATCGACATTTGCAAACATTGTCGTTTAACGTTCGTGGCGCGCGAGCACGAAGCACTTCCGTAACATATTCACAAATTGATAAATTACTCCACGTGTTTAAGTTCGACCATGAGGAGCAATAACTTAACATACGTTTTGATAGTTGGTTCCCGTGACCCGCGAAGCGCGTTCTCGAACACATCCCTCTCGTTTACTAAAGAACAAAACTGCCAAACCCTTGTCCTCGTACTATCCTCGTTTCTCGTGCTCCATATCCCGTGATAGCGCACGATATTCGCATCAAGAAAACGTGTAAGAGGTGCAAAAGTTGTAGGTATCGTAATTATATTATACTTACACAGGATCGTACCGCGCGACGAAATAATAAGCAACAGAAAACACGTGTATAACGGGAGAATAAATTACAAAAGATAGCGATTGCCCGTGGCGTGTTGGCTGTCGCGATAACGATTCACGCTTTCGGCTGTAATCTCTCAATAGATTCGTACCATTCCGTTCGTTTCGGTTTGAAATTTATGCGACCAACATCTCTGCCCGTTAATTACTCTCGTTTCTTGCGTAATAAATTCCGAAAGAAATTTAGAAGAAAGAAAATAAAATTTTCATTGCTTTTCAGGATTTTCATCGCGATCCCATCATCCAATGGGATAGATATATTATATACGTATAAAAAAAAACTACTATACGGTACAGATCGACGAAAATCGAGACGAGACACGCGATTCCTTTCCCAGACTGTTCCTTCCTTTCAAGAACGATGAATGTCCGCGGCGGGATTCGGGGTGAATAGCGACCGCGAGAATATACCTCTGGAAAACAACTGGATCGGGCAACGCGGCGATAGATCAAACCTAAAACGCTCCGTCGAGAGCGAGACGATAGTTGGCACTGACAGATCTAACTATTTCATTGACGGAGACGAGCTGATGTGCCTCTCGACTACAACTTGGTCATTCCGTTTGTACGTTGTACGTGTACGAATGGTTAAGTCGCGGTGACGTGTATGTACACGTGCACGCGTCGCGGCGGCGACGTATATGCGTTGAACGCGCACACGCTCAGATATGCCTCGGTTACGCGATTACGCTTACAAACCTTTACGCCCTACTCGTAGCTCGACCGTACGATATCGTATGAAAGAACGACGCCACCACCACAACGGTTCGAGCCGAGAGCCAACTTTAACTCGATTCGGCTCCGTGTACCCAGGGGCATGTGTAGCTGCCCGATTCACCTCTAAGTCACTCCGGCCACTCCTGCTTACTTTACTTAAGCGCCGCGCCGCGCCGACAGCATCGGAGCTTGCTCTGTCTTTATTCAAGACGAATCGAGTCGAGTCGAGTCGAGTCGAGTCGAGTCGAGTCGAGTCGAGTCGAGTCAAGTCTAACACGCACCACGCTATTCTTTGGGCTAGGGATTTCCGTACACCTTACTCTGTCCGGAGTTCGAGAACAATTCGGAACATTCGAGACAGAATACTTATTCGTAAACATTTTTAATATGTACTATAAATCGCCGCCTGTGCTTCGAAACATTTATTACAATTCCCCCAATTGCCGCTTCGATAAATCACCAAATGGTGAAAAATGTTATTAATTCATTAACATTTGCCTCAATGTCGCATACGGTGCAATGATGTTTCGTTGGATATTAACGTGACAGAATAATCGCTCTTATAGTTTTCAATGAAAAATGCAGCTAGTAAAATTCAAGCATAATTCATTCATAAAGTTCAAGTAAAATTTATTTCTATTATATGTATATGTATGTAGTATGTACACATTTGTAAAAAAATACTTCACCTCGACAAGTTATGCGTGATAGGTTACTTTTTCCTTACGTTGTGTCGCATATATGTATACGCGTATAATTATACATAGATACATGTTTGAATTTACGGACGTAAGGGAGACTGCATCATGAAAGATGACGAGACTTTATTCGATTCGATTCGATGTAGTTTGTGCGCGTGACCGATATCAAAATGACTTTTGCATTTGAAAACTAATTTATTTTAATCATTACTTCTCCCTGCATTCCTTTCCCGAAGTACAAACAAACGAAAATGTTGCACGCCGACAAAGGGAAGCAGTTAACAGGAATAGAAAACCGGGAGAAGAATCGAAAGAATTGATACGTACAGATCAGAGAGAATATTAATATCAACTACAGCTGGTACTGTAGTGCCTGAACAACCATTTGTTTTTATAACACAGTACTTCCTCCTTCTAATTTACGGTTTATCGACTCCCTTACAATGGCACTGCTAACCCTCAGTCGCTCATCATTCTCGAATTCCGACAGAAACGAGTCGTCGATTAATGAAAAGTGACATTGTAAATGTACGTGTATATAAGTGGGGATTCTGTATTCGAAAACTTCAATACGAATACGAATACGAATACGAATACGAATACGAATACGAATACGAATACGAAAACTTTACTGTAGGTATATATTATACTATTTTTTTGCTGATTCAATATACATATATGTATACGATATTTCAATATAGCCGAAAATCACGATTCAATCTCCTACATCCGAATCTCCATCGCCGATGGCATAAAGTATGTGGAACGCGATTCCTAGCAGTGCCGTTCCTATCAGATCGCCTACTGCAGTCAGATATGGTATTGCAGAACTGTCTGGATCTATTCCTCGTGTCCACATCCAAACGACCATCAACTGAGCGATGTATAATAACAAAATCACCTGATAATCAAACGGAAAAAGACGAACGCATTGTTTTTATTGTTGAAAAGCTTTTGCATGAATTATACAGCAATATTGTGATTGAGATGTACCTGTAGTAAAGCGGCGGTCAAATACACAATAATAAATATAGGAGTGAAAGAAGTGTGGCCAGCTTGAAGGTAACTGATAGCATAACCAAATATTAGGTGACCAGGTATCACCATTCCTAGCAATACTCTGGCAGTTCTCGCGTGTCCACCTACGAATCGTTCGAAGCAATACTTACGATTAGAAAACTCGTTCACGTTCTACTACATATTACCGATCTCGTCGGGAGAGGACCCGAAGTGTATCGTCGATATTTTACCGAGATTTTGCACAGTTATAAAATACATAGGTAAACAAACATATGTACGGTGAGAACCTAAGGGAAAAAAGGACCCAAAGGGTAAACGGGACTCTACTCGGACACGCAATCTCGGAATCTTTCGGCTGCTGGTCAATCCGTGTCTTTTCGTTTCATTTAGTTTTCAAACTCTTCTTAACGGGCATGCCGGTCCCGCTGATTCCACAATACCACTCAAAGAAACTAAAACTAACGGTATGGTATGATTGGGCGGACCAATCTCCAAAGTCTTGGGCGGACTTTTAATCGAATTCGATAAAAATCCATAGTTTCCTTTCAATCATATTTTCTGACACGGCAATATCACGTGAGCAATACGAAAAAAACTCCATGTTGTAATATTGTAATGCATAGAAGAAGAAAATAATTGAATAGTTTCTTTGAAAGAAATTCATTAACAATCTAAACGATAAATGTGCCAGCATTTAACAAATAAACCCCTTACGTGTTAAATTTAAACATTAAACACCCTCGAAACTACTAATCTCCAGAACTGTGAAATGCCCATTAAAATCATGTATGTATCATTTTCGATGTAGCATTCTTCAATCTTACGCTTACACGTATTAAAATATCAATGGCACGCTTCAGGGTCTCTCCTCCTTTCGGCCTGTCTGTACCTTTGGCAAAGTATGCGTAAAATGGATTGAAACGAACAACGGTTTTTTCCTGAGCACTTGATCGTCGTTCTCTATGCAACGACGTCGACATTCTGCTAGCTTGTACGGCAACTAAATTACCACCAACCCCGTTTATTATTAATTGGAATACAGCTATACCTTTGTAATTCGATATAGTGTAATCTAATATCAGGCCGCCTGCGCTGAAATCAATCCAAGCGTTTTTAAACGAGGGTCGTTCTGTAAAATTTCCCTCGTATCTTTTTTTTCCAAGAAAAGCAATAAGAACCTGCTAATTAACATTGCGCATATCACAGGTGCCCAGCCGTAATCCAATATTTCCTTGGTAAACGGATTTCTAGCTGCGATGTAACCCCAAAAAGGAGTAGCGACGATATGAAATGCTATACACGTTGGTGCTATCCATGGCGCGTAGTCTGAAACGACGACACAGAGTTTAATCATTCCTGTTCATACGTATGCTTTCTCAGTAACACGAAGAAAGAACGTTTCAATGTCCTGCTATTTTAGCGGGAATTTCTTCACCTATGGCTTCGTAGAGAAGAGACGCGATCCCCGACAGAAGCGCCAAAGTGGTCAAATCCCCGAGGGAGGCCGCGATCGGTGTCGCTACATTATCCGGATTGATTTTCATCCGTTTCGATAACAGTATGACAGTCACCATTACTATACCCAATAAAAAACTGGCTATGGATGCTGTTGCTAAGGCACTGGCGCATAATAAGAATACGTGATGAACATCAAACCGTGCATCTGGAATCCAACCAAGTACGGCAGCAGCAAGAGAAGCCAACATGCCCACGACAATAGCTTGACACTGAATTAAAGCTAGATTTCCCATGATCAATGTCCATTGCTGCTTCCGTGTGTCCATGTGTCCAAGATTAGCATGCGTGGAAAGCCTTGAAGCCAAGGTCATTTCCAAATTACCCTTTAAACCTAGCAATGCCGGTACCAATATATACACTTCCGATACGACACTGTATACTGGCCAATGCTATAACAGAAAATTACCCGTGTATCTTGTTTGTTAACATTTATGGACACTGATCCATTATATTCAGATTCAGATACATATCGGTATGTTTACACACCTGTACGACATCTAACAACAAACTGGCAGCAACCATACCAAAACCGGCCAGCAGAAAAGGTATGAACATTTGTATAGATATAGACCAAACATTCTCATCTTCGACTTGTTTCATTTCACTGTTCCTAGTAGCAGATTTTTGTCTGTCTTCTTTGCCAACACACTGATGACCGACCGGTGACGGTATAAGTCGGCGCACATGTTCTTCGTCGCTCTCCCCGTCTTCGTCGGATTCCATTTCCGTTTCCATGGTAACATCGGTAATAGCCGTTCCTAGCGATTCATCGCTGCCTAATTCCACCATTTTACTCCCGTAAAATATATGTTCTGTTTTTCTATGTCGAATTTTTGATAAATTGTTTGTACACCGTCTTACTGTATTAGCATGGCTCATTCTCGCAAGATTTCTTTTCAACAAATACAATCGAGTGTAAATCACTGTGAGTAGAAAGACAACTGGCACATATTTATGCAATGTACATTACTTTCATTGTTTTACAAGGACCGCTACCCTATTCAAACGTTATCGTTAACGAAGTAACGGGTAAATTGCATGCAAATTATATCGTCACACGATTTACACGCCCCCCTACACCATTTTTATCAGATCGATTCAACACCGTTTAGTTCAGTCTATTTAATCTTACACGTATTAAATTAAAGTACCTACCTACATCGAGTCAGATTACACGATCAGAAACGCGTTTACCCTTTATAATTTCTTTGATCTGACGTATGACAAACGGTTCTCTGTTTGTATATACGTGTATTTATTAAGTACCATTACTTGAACAAAGCTTTTGTCTATAAGTTTTACCTATCTACATACATACATACATACATACTTGTAGTCAGAAAACAAAGCTAGTATCAACCATTTCTCAAATATCTGGCAGTTTGATTTCTTTTTTCCAGACGTTGTCTAATTGCAACTGTTTAAGCACTACTAATGCGATTAACGATAAAGTATTATACATATCTGGACACCAGAACCAATGTGTATTGAGTCATACTTTCCAAATTTTAGAAGAGAGCAAATCAAAAGTGCAAAATCCTTGTAATTCCGGGACCATGCGGTAAGACTTCAACGAGGAACAATTACTATGTGAAAATGGTAAATGCGATGGAATTTACACTGTTTCGCTCGGAACAAGATTATGGACTTAATACCACTTTAAAACTATTATATTAAAAACTACACGACTTGGAACGAAATAATTTTTACCATCGAGATATACCAACTGAGGGAATTAAATTGGAATAGGTGCGGGCTGCACGTACGCTTACATTATTCTTCAAATCTACAGAACTGAAATGACTTTACAACTGTTTCACACGATTATAAATCCCATCAACAAATACTTGGAATTGGTATAATAATTAATATTTCAAAGTATATTTAAACGTTAAATAAAACATAAAGTATATTAAGTTATTTCAACTTTGTCACGCAATAAAGTATACGTGCACTTAAAAGAAATTGCAACTGCGTGGAAATGATCGAAACCTAATGTAACCCTTTCACTACCGGTGAATGATCTCGATCCGCCAGTAGGCTTATGATGTTCGGATCAGCGAGCCGCGAACCTGACCTTGATGAACAAAAGTCCGTGCTAAATCAATGCCGAATTTCTTTCACTATATTATGTACAACGCAATTTATTAGAGCATCGAATTATGTATGTATTGTAGAAATACATATGTATATTAGTTGCTTTTGTTGTACCGATGTTATAAAAATGTACGTCAGTGAAATGGTTAGAAGGGGCAAACACGACAAAGCAGAAAAACGTTTTACAATCATTTTTTTCGATGTTATCAATTTCATTATTTTTTTAATGGAATCATTATATATTCATTCTGGATAAGATCCTAACGATAATTACGAATAAAATCAATACAATGATCTAGGATACATTCATATTTATTTCTCTAATTATCGAAAAATTGCACCTCACGCTCTCGATACGTGTATGTACATACATAATTTATGTAGATACATTTCGCCGCTGATAATCAAACATCTATTATACATATCTACTATATGTACCCCTGCGAGCAAACTCTGCTTCCGTTAAGGAAAAAGTGATGTAAAGGAAAAACCTCCTACCACTTTGTCTCGAAGTTACTGAAATTTTTGCAAAATTAACGTTCGGGTTAACATTTATTTCAGTATTTCAAAATAAAATTATCAAGCGATAGGAGATAGGAGGCTCTTACTCTTACAGCACCTTTTTCCCCTGGCGGAAGCCGAATTTGCTCGTCGGTGTACCTACATACATATACATATAAATACCTATTTATATAAATATGTATATAAGTAATTATGTTTCTTGTATGTACTTCTGGATATGTACATAAAACTACTTGTACACCTACGAACCTATCTGTGGATGACGACATATCTGACACTGGGAGCGAAAGGGTTAACAAATTTAACTTATATATAAGTATATATAGAGTAATATTTAGGTAATAGTTGAGTTCTTCGTTCGCGCGATCATAACGAAACCAGACGAAACACAAACACTATGTATATATAGGTTATGATACGGGACGTTCTACATGTACATATATTGAAAAAACTGATTCCCTTCGTAATTTATGTTATGTTTGACATCGAGCATAGTATGCTTACGATTATTAGTATTTCAGAAGTAATTTATTGACGATAGATGTAGAAAATACTGTTTGATGAAAGCGACACGCAGATGCATCAATAACACGGGACAACATAACCTCGATACTGCACTCGAACCGAACCTACCCTGTATATCTGACGATATGATCCCATATTTCTTGCCTCATCAATCACATGACGATGGTTTGGGTTGACGAGAGATCCACATTTAACAAAAGTGTACGAAACGCTAAAGGACAAAGGAGATGTTTAATTTTATCTCTAAACACAATATCACAGTACGTATTTCAACACGTACTGACACGTACGAATGCGTACGAATACCAGTCCTTTTCGATAACAGCACGATTTACCCTACGTCACGTTTTAGCAAACATCGTGCTCCCGCTCCCGACCATACCGACCATCATTTTCTATGCTTTTACATCACTACATATGTACATGTTATGTACATTGTATGTTGCTACAGACGAGAATGAGAATACCGCTAAGGGAAAAAGTGGTGTATGTACCGGAAAGGTCTCCTACCACTTGGTATCGGGCATTACTGAACTTTATGCAAAATTAACATGCAATTTAACATTTGCTTTAGTACTTGAAATAAATTCAAATGGTAGGAGGTTCTTCTGTACGTCACTTTTTCCTCTAGCGGCACCTAGCGGAAGCTGAGTTTGCTCGCGAGGGTAGATTGCAGACGAGATGCCTACCTACACATCTTATGGGACTTCGTGTCTCATGTTCTGAAATACCGATCGTGCAAAAAATCAGGGATTTTCTGCTGCCCTCTACGTTATGAGAACGGTGAATTTGGGAACTACGTTCAATCCATTCAAGCTCAACTATGTAGATAATGTGCATAGATACTGTAATGTACATATGTATGAATGTAGCATAACATATAATATATATATAATGCTAGTCAAGTCGAACGTAGACCGGCCAGCTTAATGAGTTGCACATGTACGCGTCACCCTGAAGGAAAGGTTGCTTCTACCATACATCCTGGAAAAGCCAACGGATTTCAATGTATGTATACTATATACATATATATATATGTCAAAATATGACAGACCTGTTCTATACCTAGTCAGTGGTGCTTGTAAGATTCGCTACTTTTTAAATTTCGTACGTTAGCCCAGTGGCGCTACGAATGCAGCAACAGTAAGTACTCGTACCGTTTAACCGTTTAACCAACGTGTAACATTGCCTCCGAAGGCGCCGAGCTAAGGAACACTAAGGAATATGACCTCTACCATGATTGACCATGATAACAGCTTGTCAACATAGTATGCATGTATCATGTGCCTACGAAATGCGTTGCTATCACGAGCATACACTTTACATACGTGTAATGAGTAGTCACAATCGCAAAGTTATTCGTGGCTGCTAATCACCTCACGGGATAAAAAAGCAAACAAAACGATCAAGAGCTCGAAACGGTACAGACGTAGCAGAAACATTATTCCAACGTTTTGTGGTGACTCATTGATTTTAGTATTATTGTACGTATCTTATGGTGGTTCACTATTAAGGTGTGCCCTGCTCATGTTTCAGCTGAATTAATCAGTTGAACAATTAAAATTTCTGACCGGTATCTACATTGACATGGAACATTATCGAGGTAGACTTTAATAGCGAACTACATATGTATGTATGCTTATACCAGTGTGTTAGTCGATCACTGATCAATCTAGCTGTAATATTTGCGACACGTTGGAATAATTTTTCATATGATCCATACGAAGACGAAGAAGATGTAATCGATTTAAACTAGTTTTCTATGTAGAGTGTAAGGGGCATACACCCGGGGCGAACAGCTTGAAATATCTTCGTCCGGGCAATGGGCATAGTGCCCGAAAACTAGGACTGTTCCCGACAATACGTCGCAACACTTTACCACGGATATTGGTGCTGTACATATCGCACAGATTTCCATCGGTTCTCTTACGTTCTGCACTAGTAGCGTCATTCCGTTTACTACTTTCCGGACAGTGTAATAAGTATACCTATAGTTTGATATAGTTTTTTTCTTGAAACTCGATTTAATAAGGTAAGTTTTCTTTAAAATGTTAATTTAAATAATACTCGTAGTTTGAAGAGATAATTTATTACTTCACGTCACCGACCCGCCCTTCTCTTTCTCTCTTCCTATACAGTTGTACTGTACATACATGTATTTCTTCTTGAGTCTAGAGTCTAGCGTCTAGCGTCTAGAGTCTAGAGGAATAGATATACATTTTTGTATAAAATGAAAGTATTAGAAATGAAATAAGAACAGATTCCGTGGTTTCCGCGATGTTCATGTAGTTAGTGTTTTTAAAATTTGAATGACACACAGATATATCACACATTGGACGGCGCAAAAAAAATGGGTCGAAAAAAATCCGGAAGGAAAAACTGGTGGTTACCAAAAGGTAACAGTGGTGAGATAGCAAGGACGTATCGCGGCAGTGGCGAGAGAAAGATGGAAGAAGCCGACGAGAAAGAGGGGTTTCGACCTGATCGAGAAGAGAAGATTTCGATCGGCGTTGGTTTGCGGTTGAATTACCCTCTAGTTGGTGAATGCTTGCCAGAGGACCTTGAGATCTCGTCGACCGGCAGCGACGACGAGGAATTTAGCATAGAAATGACTGTGAAACCGCGATTCATGTTCGTGGCAAGTCTCTGCGCGGTTTGCTTGGAAAGGTCTGAATTTAAAGTGTTGTGTGAATGTTGCCGTATGCTCTCCTATTGTTCGATAGCGCATCGAAAACAAGGACTGCCGGAGCATCGTGACTTGTGCGAAAGTTTAAAGGAAATTCGGTCGTCCATCGCGTCCACCATGTCCGCCGAATCAAACGAACGACTGAACGCGGAACAGTATCGCGTATACAGGTTAGAGTTGCTTACGATTCTCGAAGCAAAGAGCGGCAGACCGCTAAACCTTTGGGAGAAAGAGATCGTTTTGTACCCTCGTGTCTGTCGAATTTGTCGTTGTTTTAGTGAAAGTTTAATTTGTTGCGCGGTCTGTGCGATGGAATCGTTTTGTCAGAATCATCGAGAGGAACATGAAAAATGGTGCAAAGAGTTTCAAGTGTTGCAAAGATGTTTGTTCCTACAGAACAAACACGGTTGTGTTTATCCAAAAATTCCGAATAAACCACAACGATCCAGCGTTGCGTTATCCGATACCAGTTTCGACGAGTTGATAATGCATCGAATTTACGAGAACTCCTCGTATTACCGTGAAATGGATTGTTTCACGTATTCCACGCTGTCTCATCTGTGTACGATTCCATTGACGACACTGTATTCGATAGAAATATCCTGCCCTGAGTGGCAGAAGAAGACCGAGTTGGTCGTGCACGTGCTCGGGGCCGAATTTCAATTCGAGGGCGTAAACTTGCACGTCTGGGAAAAGATGTTTCTTCATTTTCTGCCAAACTTGAAGAGGCTGTGTTTAGTATTGGTCGGGCCGGAATTGCGATTACCGAATGGCGTGCCACCGAATCTTTTATCGAAAGTGAAACTTTGCTCCGAGTGCAAAGCTGCAAGCAGGGCCGTTGTTGTTGTCTTTCGGCCTGAAACACTTTATCACGAACTCGTTCGCGAAAAACTCGAGCATGATGTCAAACCTGATCTAATTTGTGCATTCAATCCGGGTCTATATAGAAAAACTGGTTTCGCAGGAAAAGACACGTGGCCGGAAACGATAAAGGAATTTTGTAAAACAAAAACACCTGTTGTTATCACAGCGTACACGGCGGACGAAATGTTTTGGGAAATTGCCCGGATAAAGTCTGTCGATAAGATCGAGGTTATGTTGGAATCGCAACAAAATCCATTTGCCTCGATTAAACCGGATCGAAACTTTGTTAGCGATGATACAAGTCCACTTATATACAAGAATTATTACATCGGTATAATTAAAGGTGAATCAACTTTACCATAACTTTGATTTTATTCATATTTTTCTGTTTTTCTCTTGTCTCGTCCTTTTTGTTCTTTTCTTTTCTTTTCTTTTTCTTTCTTTCTTTCTTTCTTTCTTTCTTTCTTTTTCTTTCTTTTTTTTTTTTTTTTTTTTTTTTTTTTTTTTTTTTTTTTTTTTTTTTTTTTTTTTTTTGGTTCCGCTGTTATGTGCGCATATTTACGACAACGTATCGGTGTTATATGAATACATTATACATACCTACATATGTATGTAGGTATTTACATATATGTATGATATATGTAATATCTTAAGATAGCATTCGCTCCGTTCTATCGATAAGATACATAACCATAAATGAAAAGTATTTGTATCTTCTTGTACTCTGATACATTTGATTTTCGCAATGTTAGAGTTTGTACTTCGATAGAGGAGACCAATGAAATCGGTCGCGTGAAATTGAACCTAGCACCGAATTCGATTCTAGTCTCGTATCATAGCATGCAAATACCTACAGGGTAGATCTCGTTTAATGTAAACCTATAAGAATACGGCATATTTCGCGTAAAGTGAATCGCGCTTTGGCAATTTTCATGTTGCGCAACTATCTAACGGTTTCTGAAAAATCCACTGTTCTACATATGTATGTACATGTATGTATAGGACTTATCGTCACTTAAAAATGAACTTTTCCATTTTACCTGTCTTTACTCTTTGAAATATTGTCATTCAAGCGAGTAGACAAGGATGAAATTGTTGCGTAACTTTAAGATGCTAAGTAAAAATGTTTCTATCGTTCATAAATCGGTTATGGCTCGCCTCGTTATACAGGAAATTATTACATTATATTAAACAATCGACCTTGTGTAATATTTTTTCGATACTTTTCCCTGTACAATTAATTGTGAATTGTTGTCCATACAGTGTATGTATACATATGTACGCGTCCGCGAGCGCGAGATCCTGTAGTTCTTCTGTACAGATTGATAAATACAACATGATATTTCGAATCGAGCGTTGCACTAACTAACGATTAAGATGAATCGTGCGAGTTATTTACAGTGAGTTATTTATCTTAATGTTGCGTAATCGGTATGTTTTACCGTTACGAATACGATTAGAAGTTTATTCGAGCCTAGAGCGAAAAGAAAATGAATGAGTTTGCAATGTCGAACGTGTGTGATCGTACGAGTACGGATGAATAATAGAAGAAGTGTAAGAAAGAAATGGCACGAAATGTATTAAAGGTATGAGAAAATGGAGAAAATATAGAATAGGAAGAAAAGAAGGAAAAAAGGAAAAGGGGGAAAAGGGGGAAAAGGGGGAAAAGGGGAAAAGGAGGAAAGAAGGAAAGAAGGACACTCGGGTTGTTGTCGCGAATCGTGAACAATTAGAACTGAGCAAACATTAAAAGAAACGCGATCGATAACAGGGACAAAAGCGAGGAGTTTGTGACTGTAGTTCCGAAATTGGACAGTTCGTAAAAATAACGGTTGTACGCATCGTCGCAATGAGATGGCCAATTGTTGAAGCATGCTGCATACGCTATCACGTGCGCGATGTAATTTTGTTCGAATGTACCGCGAAACAAGTGGGCATACGGACCTGAAAGAAAAGTCGATCGTTTAGTTGGTATATTCGCACGATTAATTTCCAACGAAAGTACGCAATACATGTGTATTGTATGTATCAATATGTACACATAAGGTACGTGAAGTTATGTATACATATATAGTATATGTAGTATGTACATACCCACTGCATAAACTCCGACGTCTTCACCACCATGTGTTTCGGACTTCATGTATCTAGCAGCCATATGCACGTAGAAGGGTTCGTCACGGCTTTTATCTTGAACAACGTCTCTCCAAGTTTCATTGACGTGGTTGCTGTCGTTGCGTCTATGATAAAAGAAACCCGGACCGTTGGCGTATGTGAGCGTTTCGTAGCTCTCAGCCTTCGGTTTGTTTGGATCGTTGCCGAAACCAAGAATATCGTTACCCCTCTGGGGGTAGCCATTGATCGTAAATGAATGCGAATGATCGGCGGTAACGATCATCAGGGTTTCCTCCGGCGAGACTTGTTGCATGGCAGCTAGTATCGCTTCCTCGAGCTCCGAAACTTCTCGTAACGCTAATTTCGCGTAGTTGTTATGATGAGCTATATCTATTTTGCCACTCTCAACCTGCGAATCGTTGAGAAAATTTACATATATTTAGGTGTATGTATGTATAGATAAATACAAATGTACCCATATGTATTATACAATGAATACGGTGGGACTCGTTCATATAGGACAATATATGATAGGTATAAACAAGTGTCGGAAACATTTCCGAACAATACCTACTTACGGGTGCAACGTGGACACGTACGACACCTAATAGGTAGATTCAATAATGGGGATCGCTAGACTACTGTTTGGAAGTGACAACAGTAACCGTATCTATGTATCTATGCGTCTACGTGTCTACGTACCTACATCCTACATACATACCTTAGGGATCACCTAAACGTATGGTATTGTATACCAAAACTCTTTTGACTATTGACAATATTTTTTATCGTTTTTCATGGATTTTCTTTATTCTTTGATTATTGTTCTCTGTTTTTTCTTTATTGTCGCTTCTTAGGTTGTAGGTATCGTAAAAATTGCATATTGCATTCTATCACTATTCTACTTACCATTAAGAGAAAGCCGTTTTTGTTTTTTCGAAGTAATCTAATGGCTTGCGTAGTCATATTGGCTAGGCTAGGTACTTTGTCCGTCTTCAGTGCATGATACGGAAGATGACTCGCAGCGAAAACACCGAGAATTTTCGACGTATTAGCGATATCGATGGACAACAGCTGATCGGTATTGATCACCAGTTTTCCCTCGGGATTGTTTCGAATCCATTGTTCCGCCAAATTTTGACCGTCTCCTCTGATGCATGTGTCGGAATCGGTTGGATCGTTGGTGGGCAAACCCATATGTTGCGCGCCACCGCCCATCATCACCTTAAACAATTTTTATTGGATGAAATGATTGATTTTTCTGGAAGAAAAATCATACACCTATATTGTATACTAAAATTCGACGGGCACGATATTGTGTCCTCGTAAAATTATGCGTTTATTAAGGTCGCCTATTCGTCGTGTAACCGCACCAAGGGCTGTATTTAATATTTCAGGCTGCAAACGTAATTTGCAAACTCATATATTTAAAACTGCCGCTTACGATATTTCATAAAAAGTACACAATATTTAGCCTCTGCTGTCTTTCGACTCAATAGTAATTACTATATTGGAAAAAATGAAGCTGCGGATAACCCATTTCGAATTGGCATTGCACGGTCCTGAAGAGGCTCAAGCGTCTCGTATTAGAGTTTCGGGGCTATCGAAACGGGGGTAGTTTTAAAACTTGATGATTTTACGAGGACGCAATATCGTACCCGTCGACTTTACCTATCGGTGAAGCAACTTTCGATAATCGAAGTATTATAAAAGCAGGTGTATGAATAGGGGTGGAAGGGTATGTCGTTGAAGTAATCGCACTGTCTTACTTGAAACTTGTTTCCGGGGGCGTCCTCGACCAATTGTCTCGCTATATCCTTCACACAGTCCTTGTATCGTCTTGGAATCGCGGTATCGCACTCCCAATCGCGATTATTGACATGCGCGTACAACGAGGCAGGCGTAGCATGCGTGATACGAGTTGTAGTTACGAATCCTGATTCGAACGGGACGAGCTTTATTAGTATAGGTAGGTGTCTGAAATACCTTTGAAACGTACGATTTCTCGTATCGTTTCTTTTTTTCATTTAGGCAGGTAATAGTAAACGAAACGGAAGGTTTGCTACGCAAGAGCAACGGAAACGGGGGAGCGGCAAAAAGTAACGTGTTCGTGTTCCGAATCGCCTCGAACGATAGAGGAACAGAGCAGTCGCGAGAGAGAGAGAGAGAGAGAGAGAGAGAGAGAGAGAGAGAGAGAGAGAGAGAGAGGGAGAGAGAGAGAGAGAGAGAGAGAGAGAGAGAGAGAGAGAGAGAGAGGGAGAGAGAGAGAGAGTTACGCCGTAGATAAAACGGAAGGTCGACTCGCGTGACCTCCTCCGACGCGTCGTTTTCACGCTCGTTTTGACAACAAGGTCTATTCGATCCCTGATGCTTAACGTTTAAACACCGGTAGTTGACCATGAGCCGACTGACACAGTAAGAGTGTGTCGTACGCGCGATTCCGAGCATGCACCATCTTTTATCTATGGGCGTCGAGTAGCGGCGCGGTGTGACGGTGTGACGCCCAGTGACGTTCGTTTCGACGCATTTGATTATTGGGTGTTTTGGCTATTTAGTTAGGCTATTTAGGTGTATGGCGAATCACCACACTTGTAGTCATACGCACTTTTGATCGATCCGTACCATAGTCGTGCTTACATAAACGCACACATACATATGTATGATATGTGCTGTTACGTGTGGTTCTCGTTCGATATGGATCTTTGGAGACTGGATTTCGTACAAGGTACGAATCTTTTGGTAAGATAATATAGGGATAAAGCGGAATGGGAAGACCGAGACGAAAAATAAGAGGATAAAAGGAGAGGGACAGGGAACGGCCAACAACTCACCAGTGTCCATGCCAGTTTGTTGTGCCCAGTCTGCGATCGTGGTTAGTTTGCTCGCTTGATTTATCGTTTCGTCGCAATGGTCGTACTTTGCTTTAGTGTCTAAACCAATCATGCTATAACGGCTCTTGACACCGGAAAATATCGCAGTAGCTGTTCCAGCCGAGTCAGGTACTTGTTTGTCGGTGTTGTACGTCTGCAAACGAAAATGCAAGTCTCTGCAACATACACCGAATAATTTGACACGTAGGACAGATTTTATAGGCAGGTATGTGTATGTACTCACATATACATACATACATACATACATACATACGTGTTATCGTAGCTACTGTGCATACCTTAGCAAATCCGGTGTTGGGGAACTTCTCGAAAGCCAGTTTGTATTCTTCACCGGTCGTACCCTTGGCTTGGCCTTTGAATATACGACCGGCTGTGATCGTAGATATTCCCATGCCATCTCCGATGAATATTATAACATTCTTCGCACGGTTTTCGTTGTTCCGGTAAGCCAGATTTTCTCGAAGTATCTGTTGCCCCGACTTGAGCCAAAAGGACATATCTGACGAAAGATCGAAATATTGGTCCGTGATTCGTGAATCGTTTCGCATCAAGAATATACATTTTGCGAACACAATCAGGCGACGTACCTAACCCAGACCTAACCCCAGACACCTATCTGTCTTTAGTTTAGTCGATTAGTTCGAATTTACACAGAATGTTTTGCGTGTTATTAGTACAGTGAGCCATAAAAAATTGCGACACGTGTGCGTGCAAGCAAGCCAAGTGGCACGCATCCGAAAGATGTCTCGATGTGACTTGGAAACGAGGATGGTTGTAATTTTGATGATTCAAATTTTCACGAGCAAAAATAAATAAATCGCTGCGTCAGCCATCTATACAGTTACCAAGATCGAAAAGTTAATCGTTCGATCACGATAAACGTTGGAGCAAAATGAGCAAACTTGTCCTGTATTAGCTGGAATTTCTAAACTTGCTGGTATACTATATGTATAAACGGTGTACTTAATATGATCGACGTGACAACAAACCTTCGTAATTGTCCGAATTCCGAGGGAGCGCGTTGACACCGAGAGATCCCACGAGGATGCAAATTATTACGATCAGTCGTGTCATATTCGACGGAGCGTGCGATTCTGTAAAAGAAATTTTCTTATGGTAGATTGATAGGCAAATCAATTAAGAATCGTTTCCTGTCGAGTCTCGCGAGATTCTTCGTTAATGCTTCGAACGGACCGCGCCGCCCCGTACAGTATGGATAACAACGAATGGGCAAAAACCCTGGAAGGAGGAGTTTTAATGGACATTAGAAAAAACTGATTGTACGATTGTAAAACGATTCGCATGATTTGTCGAGAATATTCCTCTTTGGGAAGTTGACGTCGATGCTGATAAAGAGATAGAATTGTGTGTCGCGCAGTGCGAAATATTCGACGAAATGAAGATCGACAGCGTGAGGAGATTGCGTATTAGATAAGCCGCTAGTGTAAGACGATTGCGATTAGATTCGTAGATTCGTACGATTTATATTTTCTTTTTACAAGTACAATTCGTTGATTGACTAACAAGGCCGAAATGAAGGTTCCGAAGGTTAATGTCGTCGACGAGGAGGACACGATCGTTCTCGCATTCGTGAACGTGTATGTGTCGAGAGTCGGCCAATTTGTTGGAAGGGAGATGGATGGATGGACGGATGGACGGATGGACGGATGGACGGATGGACGGATGGACGGATGGACGGATGGACGGATGGACGGACGAACGGCCGGACGGCCGGACGACAAAAGGGATCACACTGATCACAGTACAGCAACAGGCACCTCAAAGGGGAGCATATTCGGGTCAGTCGGCGAATCAACGAAAACGACTCGACCCGACAACGCGAACGGTATATCCTGATCGAAACAAGCAAGGCTACGTTGCTATACCGTTTAACTAAAGGTAAGAGATTATGCGAGTGAACGCGAGTCGCGAGCCGCGCATAAGCCGAACGCGCTTTCGGTCGTTTCGCTTTGCCCCGTTCAAGATTTTTTGGAATCGCACGAGTTCACCACAGTGGAAAGCTGAATCGTTGAAAGAGTAGAGGTGAGGTCGATCTGGCTAGAAGACTGATGACGATGCATAAACAAAACTACCTACCTATATGTAACAACCTTTCGCCACCTGTAGTCTGGATTCGGGCCGTGAATTTTACAGTGCACGCGATGTCGTCAAACACGTGTCCAGAGGCAAACCATTGTTCGACGAGCAGCGAGGAATGCAATAGACACGATGTTACCAGCTGACTGGTAAGTTGGTAGTCACGGTAGAGGCACGTCAACTAGACGGGATTCTGGTCTGGTTTTTGTCGAGCTATATTTTCCTCGAATTCGAAGAAATTCAAGGACATTCGGGTAATTACAGCAGACAGACGAGTCTGGAAGAAAGGAACCCAAAGTCGAAGCGGAACTCGAAGCCGAACTCGAAGCCGAACTCGAAGCCGTATGACGCAAAGCTACACGAAGGACCGATCGTGAATCGTCAGTCGAAAACCGTATCACGTTTGTCGTGTCGATTTTATCTGGCGGTTAATACCCGGCCGGATCGTGGTACCGTATTAACGCTAATACAGCGCCACTGAGGAAGTTTGTCACTTTATATAGCGTTTCAAAGGCCCTGGTAGATTGTGCACGAGGTGGAGAGCGTGCAAGGGACACTGACAGTACGGATTCTCTAGGAGAGAAACGGTTGGGGGAGAAGGGGAACCCCTCGCGTACTGTTAATCCAGGTGTAATTGAGCAGCTCGGTACCATTATGTCTTATATCCGCGACCGCGACAGATTAATACGAACGCGGCACTCGAAGCATCTTGCGGGCCGCGAATTTTCACTTCTCGGTCACATGCGCTGCCCGATAACTCAACCATTCAACCTTCAACCCGTTCATTTTTCCTACTTCTTTTTCCGTTCGATTACTTACCCTTTACTACCTGTTCTTGTTCAAACGTTCTTCGGTCTCGCAAACTGCATGTCTTTTCTCTTAATTCGTTCTTTGAATGCATGTTTTCTGCAATCCGTATCCCTCGTGAATTTATCAGGGATTAGCGTAGATTGCAATTTCGCGGAATCGAGGATCATGGAATTGACTATCGGGTCCCAATAATCCGTATTATGGCTTTCGAAGTAAACCGACTAGCTCTATTTACTCGCTGAGATTCGTTGGTAATTCACTTTTCGTACGATTTATTCGAGGGTGAACGAAATAGAGACGGAGAAAGATATCGATCACGACAGAAATCGTGATTCCTCGCATTTTTTCTGCGTTTGCGTACCTCGTAATAATAATATATTTTTACTCGGTGCAGATTTCTTTTTACCAGAGGAGTCTATTTATGACAATCAATGATCGAAGCGCGTTCAGATAAAATTCAGTGCGGACGTATCGCGACAAAAGTAACGTAATCACGGTGCGGTGGTTCGGATGACAGATAGAAAAAAACTTGATCGACCAATCATATGTTCGCTATATTCCTCCAAGTCTCAAGAGGTACGAGACAGAAGCTCGAGTGCTCGGTTTATTTCGCTTCAATTCCATGCTCCGACCACGTGTAATCTTATTACATTTGTCTTTCTTTGTTGTCGCCGAGTAATTTCTAAGGTGTTCGTACGATCGTTGCGTGATCGTGGCTGACGATCCATTTGCGCTGAAATAACACCGTGATCGCTGCCTGATAATATCGTACAATACAACGGGCATTGCCTTCAATACGCCGCCGCGCCTCCTCAATTCTTCGTACATACGACGATCGGTACTTACATACATACATACATACACATACATATGTTATTTGCATTTCATCCTCGACTCCCTTCCGCTCCACCACTTGTCTTCTCCCCTTCCTTTCGCTGACTCTTACTCTTATTCTTATTATCGTAGCGTCCTTGTTTTTCCGCGCATCTTACAATACTCTGTCTTTTCACATAAACCACTGATGTTTTTTTACCTCTATATGTATATGTCCATACTTGCTTACACGAATTCATCGACAATGGAACACATTTTACACGTCGATCAGACGTTACCGATGCGAAGAAAACTGCATTCGTATGCAAGATATTAAAACCGTTGTGACTGCACGCTTGCAATCCGTATGCGGTTGGTAACGACCAACGATTACTGTATGCGTATAGGTGTCACAATGAATACAGGCAATCTCGATCGAACCGTCCTACGTGTCGGTTCTTCTTCGGTTCTATTGAATATTTATTTATTTATTCTTTTATTTATACACATTTATGGTATACGTATGTAGGTTCGTCCAAACGTTCGTCGTAACAGCTGAACAACTTTAAACTAAGAGTTATTTAAGCAACCTCTAACAAACTGTGCTCCTTTACCGATTATTCGTAAAATCGAGAATATCGATATACATGCAAGTACCTACACATATATGTATATCCTTGCAGTAAATTTCTGTTTAGTTTTTGTACACGTTACTCGATTATTCGATACATATTCCATCTTATGCTAAATTGGGAGTAATCAGCGATACGACGAATGAATGTTCTTACGTACATATGTATGTATGTACGTATTTATTTATGTATGGTTTGTTCTCGGCAGTAGTAAACATGTATGTATGTATGTATGTATGTATGTATGTATGTATGTATGTATGTATGTATGTATGTATGTATATATGTATATGTATTTTAAAAATGTACACCGAATAATTGTTACTTACCTTTGAAACTTTTGCAGCCGTCTTTGACAAATGCGAGAAATCAAAGGTATTGAAACACAACTCGAGTTGACGGAAATATTTATTCGCGAATGTTATATCCAAAGAACGGTGTACGTACCTATGTATGTATACATATATGTATGTACATGTAGATTACATATCTATAGTCTATAGGTATACGTATACATACGGGTAGATTGGCGCATTTATGTGAATATTTCGCAAAACTCCTTTGGAAACATAGCCTTTTTGCTTTTCAAACGTTCGAAAATTTCTTCTCCTTTTTTTTAGAACATTCTTTTGTACACGGATTCTTCCGATGACAATCGCATAAATACATCGAGTCGATAAACGATAATTGGATCGAGGCTCAAAGTGTACACGTTTATCAAAATGCTTTGCCGGTTTTTAAATCGAATTCCTATACAGAATACAGATGTGCATGTAGATACTCGTAAGAAAGCTTTCGATGCGCGTTAACGACAGTCTGTGCAATCTCGATCACGAATAATATGTATGTAGGTACATTAGGCGGAAATAGTGTACCTGCAAAAGTACCTTGAGTATCGTTGCCAATCGAGACGAATAATTTATCGTAGAACCGTACTGGGGCAATAAATAATTCGATTACACCAACATCGTTCCGCGAAAAAAGGAAGGATAACCTCGTAAATGTTACGAAACGCAGTCGGGCAACAGGTTGGGGTTGGGACACGACACAACCCCGTTGTACATGTATTATACATATATTATACATATAATATATGTATGTATGATAGATACGAGAGGAACACAGGATTTCGCCTTTTGTGTCGCATATTTTATTTCCCTAACGGATCCTTCACATTTCTACGTGTTTATTTATTATTTCTCCGGTTTTACGATTCGTTTATTCGACTACGTTGTCTTTATTGCGCACTCGAGTAAATGCCATTTACAACACTTAGGTAAAACGTCTTTGTCGCACACTTGATGTTTGCAGGAGATGAATGCATATCCAAAGTATTGTGTGCACATAGATGCACGTACGGAATTTGTATGAAAATCCGCCTATATTCGAATTTGCTATTCTACGATTCGACAATTGCCACTAGATTTCTTTACGCGATAGTCGCTTTCTTTTTAGGAGATCGGTGATTTTCCGAATTCGAGTAGATCTCTTGATCTCTGGTCTGCGCAGATCTTGGTCACGTGATCCTTCCAACGCTGGCTGCTTTTAAATAATCAAGCTCGTGTTGGTTATCGATGGGATCTTACCGATACGACAGTGTACAGGTAGCTTCGGAACGCGCAATATTTTTGGAACTTCGATCGAGCTTGAGTCAAACGGATAACATCTCGTCAGGTGTGTCTAATTCTAATCTCGTTGAACGCGCGAACGGTAAGATCAATGATTTTCATATTTAGCCTTATCATAAATATCACAGGATTTACAATTACAGAGACCTCAAAGATCATCCTGTACCTACTATAGGTACTATAGGTACTAAGTAGGTATTCAATGAAACGGTATAAATTTAAAGGTGAAATCTTAGGAACGATCTCGTCACGATACGCGGTCTCTTAAGTTTTTCCAGTTGTCCGTTTCTCGGTAAACTAGAAAATTTATAGAATTCCCGAATTCGATCAATGGTAATGGAAATAGAATTATACATACATACATATGTAGATATGTATTGTTCGTTTCTGCGACGCGTCACGTACCTACCGAAAATTAGCAACAGTGAAAACGAAAAAAGCCGAATATACACACATAATACATACATAGTATGCATAGTATGCAGTTACACCTACCTACTCGTTGGATTCAGGATGGACTATTCCGTGTCTCCTGCTTCCAGCCTCTTCCACGCTCGATCTTTCGTCGTTTATGCGAGCCATTACAGGTATAGACTTCTCCGTTTCGAGGGCATTCGAACCAATTTGCACGATGCAATTTATGAGGATTGTTGTGGCCACGTGTCGGTCGGTCTGATCGCCAAAGAACCTCTGACGATCGAGTTCTATTCGCAGACCAAGTCTGTTCAACATTCCACCGGCATCGAAACCTGCACCTTTATCGAATATCGTAACAGTCTTCTGCCGGCCGATCGGCCAGGAAAGCCGAATATCTACATATACATATATGATACATAAGTATGTATGTATATTAGGGTGGCCCTTATTTATCCTCTCCGTTCTGAAGATGTTTCTTCTTCTGTATTTCTTTGCTCTCATCCCCTAGAATTGTTCCATTTCCTAAGAAAATAATTCCTGAAAATGTCTATTGCAATCGGACAACAAGAAGGGGGATGCCTGACGACCAGGCCTTAACCTTAAAGTTTTGATATCGTCCGTGTTTTTGGAGTTTTTAAAGAATTTCTCAAACATGGTAAGTCTGTTTATACAATTTTTTTTCTTCGTGTTTCCAACCGTTTTTTTCTTTACAAATAATAGCGTTTGAATGTTGAGAGGTACGCACAACGCGCGTATAGGCAATACGTCACGACGATATGTCATGAATATAGACATTATAGACTATAGACTAAGGTGAAGAAATTCTTCCAATTTTATAATAATCGATAGTGTGGATCGAGCCTTATCGGTTCTCCGTTCACGGTCCAACGAAGATCAGCTTTTAGATCAGATGGCCAAACGGTATAGTTTGCCATTACATTATCCTCAAGTAGGTACGTATGCAACGCGCTGACAAATATCCTGTGATTTCTGGCCCTTTCTTCGGCAGCTCTGAAAGCTATTGGTCGAAGAAACGAAAAGAGAAGAGACGGACGTTGCACAGGAGTTTACCGAAGCATAATTCAAATATATGTATATGAACTACCCGGTAGTAATACCTATCGTGCAAATTATGTTTCGTAGATTCTTGAACTCGTCTAAATCGTTACTACATTTTCGAAAAACAGAAATAGAGCTTCAGCGAATGACTGTCATATCATAGATATAGGCTTGTCATTCTGCGCCAGCCTTCGGATGGGCAAGGTTGACGATCCTAGCAGAGAAACATTAACCCAGACCCACTTTTCCTATTCCTGTACGATCTCTGGACAGGCTTTGTCAGGTCAGCCACTTTGTAGTTCACATTCTAGTTTAAAATTTATTCGTTTCGATCGAAAACTACTACTCGGAAATGGAACGTTAAACTGAGCGTTATTCGCGTCAACGAACAGTCGGGGCACAGTTGCTTGAAATTCCAAGAAAATACACAGCTGAAAAAGCGGATGTACATACATATATATATATATATATATATATATGTATACACATGTACCTACCTACAAACCATGTCGCAAAAGATTGCTCGAATCATATCGTGTTTGTTCATGCTTCTTCTTGTTTGTTCGTAAAACAGGGATTCGATGCCCCGAAAAACTTACAATCGGCGAGTAACATTACTTATACATACATTGTATGTACATAATACGTATATGTAGGTATGTATTTAGAGGCAAATGAAGGTGTCTGTTATACGACTGGCAGGATAACTTCCCGACTGCACCACATGGTTTACTTTTCTAGCTTTTATTCCGCGTTTCGATAGGAATAAATAGGTTAAATGAAGTTCAAAAACAAACCTATCGCGTAGAATACACAAAAAACCGGGTGTGTAGAGTAGGTATGTATGACACTTACCAATCACCGTGAAATTTTTCTCTCCTTAGATAATGGTGAAGGAAGGAGTAGATACTTCGCATTTGTATTGACCTAATCCTGGCAAAACCGGGAGGCAATTGACCGTCTAAGAATAAAAGTAATTAGAAATAAGGAAGAAGGAAATGCAAGTCTGCTAGACCGGAAATAAATGCGTAAAAGCGACGTTAAAACATGCTAAACAGGTATCTATACAAGGAAACTAAAAATAAAGTAAAACTACGTATTATAGGTATGTATAGAAACGCGATAAAATATTACACTTTTTGGCTAAGGGGTTCATTCCGATTTTCTACATCTCGGTGAATTTGTGTTCCCCCCTTTTCAAAATTTCCACATCGAAGAGCACATAAAATGTCTTTAAGATACTATTGTTGTGGACATACATATGTATACAATGTATAACTTACAGTTAGCAAGTTGATGGTTTAGACACGTTAAATTAAAAAGGACTCCTTAATCGTGTAACGATAAATGTGTATCACCGAATGAATTTTGTCATCGTGATTGTTTTTATTACTGAAATGAAAATCTATATGCACACGTGTACATTAGCGTCAAAGGAAAGATGAAAAGGTGGGCCAAGAAAATTGTACTCTCTTTTCGTAACGTATCTTTATATTGTTTGCAGTTTCTCGCGGCACCGGTGAGTAAAGTTAAGAGACTTTTCGACCGGTTTACACGGATAACAATGAATGAATTGAACGTGTCGACAAGGTAAAACCCGACGATTACAGCTGCAACTGTAACGTTAGATGACAGTACCAGTGGTGACACCCGCGTAGATTGGTAAGAGATCAGAGTCGTTATACGAGTTCCCCTCTTTCTAAGGAAATTTTCAGAGTAAGAAATTCTCGCTCGTTCGTTGGACGCAAACGCACATACACTCCAGTGGAAAAATGACAGAAAAAGAAAACGAAGAAAAAGAAAAAGAAAAAGAAAAAGAAAAAGAAAAAGAAGAAGAAATCGAATCGAGACTCTTGGAACGGATATACCACCGATTCCGACGCAAAATACTTTCAAGAAAATATATTATACATACGTATGTATAGTACACTATACATACAATATCGTATAGTAGGTAGTACAGTGTATGTGTGCAAACTGTATGTGTATGTATACATACATACCTATACCCTATACCTTATACGTATCTATACACGGTTTAATCGTACGTTTTCACTATAGCATTCACAAACACATTTACCCTTTGTGGAATGCCGTTTCTCTTGCTTACGTCTTTATACTTTTCCGACTTGTACGCAACTTTTTCAATTCGTAATTAGATTATGCACAGTTATACATACATTTGTGTGCACGCTCTGTAAATCTATCAAGACTTCATCGAACGCGTCTCTCACGGGAGTCGGCGTATGTACCTATTTGTAGGTAGTTCTTTTTCCGTAACTTATTCGACAAAGAAACGAAAAGTAATTACATCGATATTTGACAAGAGACGTCTGTATCCCTGTCTTGGTCCACGATCCTATACGATTTATTCTTTTTTCAATAAGGAAACAGAATTAACAGACCGACTGGAAGACAAGAAAACGTCAAGAAAATATAATATTACGGCGACGAACGAACATCGAAGGACACTTAAATAAACTACTTATCCGTTCCGTGTTTCGACCTGAAACGACGTATATAAATCATCGTCGAATCGTATACATATTCTCGACGGACACGTTCCTGGATTTATAGTATGTATCCCAACGATATTCCTGATAACGATAATAGGAAATTTTTATAAAATTATTCTTATCTCACGAAGAACAAACGCGTTCTTCGATTAATCGAAAAACGTCAGGTTCTTACAAGAGCACAGAGGATTCTCTAAATCGAGAGAATCGAAAATACCACGAGGCCACGAGTATTCTCATCGAAACGAGAGATAAAAGTATCTTAGGATTGATTTGCATTCGGTTATCGTCCACAAACTCGCGACCTGCGCGAGTATTCGAATGTACATTTGCACGTGTAATATAAAATTTCGTTGCTGCGCACGAACGATGATCGATCAATGTTACGCGAAACGATCGAGCATATCGAGCATTATCGACCAACCTATGCAACACTGCAAGGCGACCTCGTAGAAATCAAGTTTCTCGTCGAGGATACATTTTGAATAATAATCAGCCTCGGACACAAAAGCGTCGTATAGAAGCTGACACTCAAGAGAGTGACAATGTTCTTTAAAATCTTTATACATAACGGCCAGCCGTTAAAATGGAGAAAAAAGAAGCACGAGTTAATTAATTAACGTTAATCGTAAACGATGTTCGCAGTTGGACGCAAAACTATTCTCACTGTTAGAGATGCTATGCGACTATGTCCATGTCGGAAGAGGAATTGGGCGTGGTCGGTGCCAAACTACCGAGGGTGTCCTCATCCGGTAATGCGTGTTGGCATACTGCGGCTGGAGGACTCAAAGGAGGAAGGTGCGGCGAAGACAACATTGGATCGCCGCTATGAATTGGACCGCCCGTGTCATCCTCCATCAGATCTTCAAGCTGCGACATACTCAGACTCGATGCTTCTTCTGCGACTAGCACCGGGAGTTCCGGAATCTGTGAAGCAAATAATCTCGATTTGTTAAGATGAACGAGTGAAACAGCAAAAAGGGTAAGAGATTTGAGGCTTTCACAGCCCGGCATCGTACAATTGTTACAATTGATCAATTGAGCAATGAACTGGAAGATGAACAAGCTCCAGTAATCAGTGGAGCACCCACAAGGCACACACCAATGTCAGTGTATCATTCGACCCCCTGATGAAGCTAGCTGCAATGCTTGCGAAACGCTGGGAGAATAATTCCTCCAGGACACGGCTTACACCCGAAAACCTCAAAAGTAAGAGAGTGGCGACCAGTAATGCACAAAAAAATGGTTCACGTATTGTAAATAGACAAATAAAAACGGTTCGTGAATAGATGAGGACAAGGAAGGAGAAAATTGTGAAAGTGACTTGTATTATGTATATTTAGATTGGCGATACTCATCAACGTTGATATGCTATGCATATACCATATAACTCGCATCGTTATCAAAATTTATATTTGAAACACGGAGGAAGTTGCTTATATTGCGACGAGCCTTTATCTTAACCGTTTGCGTGCCAGAGGGTTTTGAAAAAACACGATTGAAAAGCGCCAAGGAACGCGATCGCGCTCCTTCGATTACGTGTCGAAAAAATAAAAAGTTACGAATAAAAAAATATACATATATATATATATACTATTAATTTATAATAGGTAACAACAAAAAACAAAATGTACTACTTGGATTACTGATAGCGATGCGACGTACATGCGCCTGAAAGGCTGAGCGCGTTTCGACAAATTGTGAGCGCGCCGTCAGTTTACTGTATCGGCCAAATGCGCTGGCTTTTTTCAACACAAAATCTGAAGAGCGCGAAAGTGGCTCGTGGTACGCAAACGGTTAAATAATAATTCATGCGGTCTTGACATCGGTACGCGAGACAGAGTAGGTACGCCAGTCGCGATGGCTTTGTCTTATCTTTCGCGTCATAAAGGAGTCGCTCGTAGAAGATCGTGCTCGATCTACACTGTGAACGTTATTGTGAACTGGGTTCGCGTGGCACAATTCATTGCATCGAAGTGGTAATTAATTAGAATTAGTGAAACGTGACTCATACGGAAGGCCAATAGTTTGGTAACATCCAAGAAAATATCTTTGTCGCGTATGTTATGAATTTCAAAAGATGGGATACATATGTATAATATACACATATATACATACATCATACATGCATACATACATACATACATACATACATACATACATACATACATACATACATGCATGCATAAAACAGCCTCTCGGAATAATTGCGATCCGTTTAGTTCCGTGGCGAGTAGACAGGTAGGTAGAAAATGACAGTAAGGAAAAGAATAACGAACAAAATGATGAAAAATACGGAAGGGGAAAAAGAATGAGTAGCAGCGACGGGACTGACGAAAGGAGGGGAGATGTTGTGGTTGGGGAGCAGCCGCGAAAAGTTGACGGGTGATGGTAGAGATGTGTGTGTGTGTGTGTGTGTGTGTGTGCGTGTGTAAGTGCAGCTCTGTGTATTAATATAATATGTGTGTGGAAGAAGAAGACAAAAAGCGAGGACGAATAAGGATAAGCGAATGATTTTGTGGTCGTAGTCCGTAGTCTTGTAAGAGCAGATACATGGGGATTATGAAACGAGTCGAGGGAACGAAGCAAACGTTTATTCGGATCAAGGATCGTGAAACTATCGGCGTTGATCGGCGTAACCTTGAAAACTGAAACTTGCTCGTTGTTGCGGGTGTCGGTGGTACGGGGAGACGATTCAAGCATACATGCCTGTGCGACACGATCGAGTCTCCTTTGCGAATTGAATATGTAACCCTTTAGCTGCGACGTATACATATTATTAATGGTATACGTGTAAGGCAGATACATACATACATATGTATAGAGGAGGACGTACCACAATATGTGGGCACAAGTTCAGTGATAAAATCAGCAGGCAAACATTATAAAAAAAAAAAATTCATATAATTAAACGTTCGTTCTATTTGACTTTGTGTCCGACTTACAAGCACTTCTGTCTTCCAGTAATTATTTCAACAACTCGAGTTCTTGGTTCAACTGTTTATACGTATGTACACAAGCAACGCTTGATATTTCATGTCTCGAATAGGGTTTGCTAGCACATTCGTACAACACCGGGCAATTTTGAACGGGTCAGAAGGTTAATGATAAGGCGTTTGAAGGTTTGCATACGTGGTCACAAGATCGGGAAAATTAATATATGAATTTTTTTTTATTATTTCTCTGTGCTGAATCCACCAGTGAAGTTATGCCCACGTATTATGGTACATCCTGCATATACGCTGAGAAATTTTCAGTCACTGCAACACAACAACAGTTACAATAAGATGATGTAGCATCGGGCAATTGTATATTGTACATATATCTATACATATATTGTAACGGTTTTCTGTTAGGACGTGCTGCAGCTAAAGGGTTAGAGGGAACGAATGTTATCGAGGAAGCCACGTACATAGAATATGTATGTATATGTATAAGTGAATACAATACATAT